AGGAGATCCTCTCCGCCGAGACGATCGCGGAAATTGATGCGGGCTTGAAGGATCGGGAAACTCACCCTGCACATCTGGATCTGGAAGCTGAAGAAGGGGGTGCTGGTGGAGATGGTGGTGGTGACGCGAGGTCCAAGCACGGGACGCCGAGAGGGTCGAAGGGCAGTGGGATGCGTGTGGATAAACGGCAGATTGAGCAGCGGATTGAAGAGGATCGAGAACGGAATAAGCGACTACGGGAGAGTATGTGGACGGTTAGTGGGGATGATGGGGATGAGCATGGGAAGTTCTGGGATGAGGCGAGTGATATTGGAGAGGATGATTTCTTGGCTGCGAATGAGGAGGTGATGGAGCGGCGGCAGATGATTGGTGCGAAGTGATGCTGGTGCTGATCGATGATGTGGTCGGGGATTTTAAAAGCATGTACTTACGATGGAATGGTGTTTTGGCGCTGTTGATATCTCTTTGCTACGGGGCATTTGGCATGCATGGGCGTTTCAATGAGAATCACAATTACAGGACAATTATTTGACAGCATAGACTAATTTACTTATTACTTAACACGATAAATTGAAAATGAAGCTAATCATCCTGCTAAACTATATCCGACCCACTTACAGCCGCCCGCCTTCGGAAAATCCCAGACGCCGACCAAATTTGCTGGATCTCGATCTTGAATTTTTGAACGACTTTTGAGCGCAATAACATTTCTCCATGTTTTTACATGTCACACGGGGGACTTTCTAGATCCTCTATGTTCTCTCAGTTTGTGACAGCAGCAAAGGGGTTATTTTCTCGACAGGACTCCGACGAATCCTCTCCCAAAAATCTGCGCCCTACAACTACTACCACCACCTCCTCCGGCGCCCCATCTGAAAATACATCGAAAATGGTCACAGCAACAAGACAGCGGAAATTTCCCGCTGAGAAACAACAATCCTCGACAGAGCCCGAAGTCAATGGATCGAATGGAAAGCGCAAGTCCGAACCCGTGGGCGCTGAGCCCACTGAGACCCAGAGCAAGAACAAGCGGCGGAAGAGAAGCAGTCTAGAGGCGACGACACAGGAATCACAGAGCAAGCCTTCGAGTAACAAGAAGTCGAAGAAGATGACGGAGTCGATTGAGGAGCCCGAGCAGCAGCAAGAGGAGGAAAAGAAATCTTCAGCAGCGCCGGCGCCGAAGAAGCACTTCCGCTTTGATAGCGAGGAGCCGGAAATTCCGGAGGTTGCGGCTATTGAGGAGACTACGGAGGCACAACAGGATGAAGATGATGACAGCAGTGATGATGACGAGGCCCCAGAGACGGTCGATAACTCTGCACAGCTGTCAAAGATGAGGATGGAAGCTAAGAAGCAGGAACGGGCTAGGCAAATGTGAGTGATGCGCGCATTTCTTATTTTAGGTACCATGTTTGGGTATAGTCTGACATTCTACACAGAGAGGAGCAATTGAAGAGGGACAAACGGAAACAATTGGATGAGCTGCGCAAATCCCAGGCGAAGTTGGCGAAGAAGAAGGAAGCTAAGGCCGAGGACCTGTTGTCAGAAAGCACAGAGACTCTTCAAGGAACTACCACGCAAGATGCGCGACGATCGGCCCTCCCGGCTCTTCTTCCCGATGATATTCTTAATGCCGCCCCTGATGTCCGGCCCCCGACACCTCCCGCGGAAGAGAGGTCTATCATGCAGAAGAAGCCCAACAAGCTACGATTCCTGGACAAGAAGGAGAAGCCGCCGAAGGATGCGCGGGTTGGAGATGTTACTATCCGGGTGTTGGATGATGATGTATCCAAGAACCCATCAAAGACGGTTCTGCCGCCCAAGGCCTCCAAAACCGGGCGCAATGCCAAGCAGAATTGGCTGAACAAATCCCGCAACACAGGCGCTTTGAATGGGTTGAGAAGGACGACTGGCGGTTCCTCGGGATTCGTGCGCAAATAGCAGGTCTTGGGCGCTCTTTTACACTTTCCCGTCTCGAGAATCAATCAAATTATTAATAGAGCAATTTTGTGGATCCAACAATGGGCGTAGTGTTACGATGTGCATAACATAGCAACTATTTACTCTTTAGGGTTAGATGAGTTCGAGGGGTTGTTACTGAGCTTTGTAGCAGAGCACTTGCGATACTACCAATGGGGTACCACTGAACCTTTTACCATAATAGGATATCAGACGACAATTGTGGTACAGAGGGATCCCTGATATAAAGAAAAGGTACTACTGTAGTTGTATGCCATATTTGACCGGGAGTCGTACAACCGGGTAGAAAGTTGGGGAAGTGTACGATCTACACCCTGCAGATCATTGCTTTCTTTTTCTCGAAGCAGCACCAAACCAGGCCGTCGGGAATATTCTAACGAGGGTTTCATAAATACAGACAAAACTCAATTTTACCAGTAGGAAAAGAAGAGAGAAAAAAAAAAAAAAATAGAGAGAGAGAACACAAAGAGGAGGGGCACCGGATTGGGCAGATTGGCAGCCTCTGGCGGGCGCACGTGCAGAGCTTGGAGCTCCATTTGATCGGTTCGACTTTCTTCTCTCCATCAACTTCTCTCTCTCTCCCTCTTCCTCCCTCCTGTTCAATTTTATCTGTCCACCATTACCAAAGATTCCCTTCTCTGCAATTCGCCATTCATCTGCAGATTATGCTCTGAGCAGTGTCTCATCCCCCCAACCCCCCCTATCCCACCATGGTTACTACAGAATCCTCTCCGCTCCTCCCCCAGCATCACCTCCCGACTTCCTCCAATACGTCACCGCGAGGAAACCGTCCGCCGCGGACAGTCACCTTCAACCCATTGGCAACTGTCAGCACCTACCATGACTCTACCTCCGCAGATCCCACCTTCCGACCTCTCCAATCCGGCTCTTCATCTGCACCGCATTCTCAGGAGAGCCATTACCGACCGACCGGCCTCTCCGCCCTGAATAGCAAGCTCCGCCGGCGGAACAGCCATGGCGCTCCGTTCAGTACCACAAACACCCCAATCGCTGCAGCCCCCAAAGTCGGACCGCAAAGAACAACGAAAAATGCGCAGAAGCTCAAATTGCTTCCCGATCCAGTGACTGAGGCTGAGGAGGAACTCGGTGGTGATGACTTTCCGTCCGATGTCTATTCGCAGATTGCCCGAATCAAAGAACCTACGGCGAGGAGTCACGCTGCAAAGTTAGGAAAGGCCGACAGAGAGCGTTTGCCGCGAGTGACTGCCTACTGCACAGCCAACTCGTACCGACTGGAGGGGATAATCAAGTTTCTCAAGTCTCGCTCCAAGACCCGCGGGGCCAACCCAAAGCTCTACGACGAATGTGTCTACTCGCCATATGACTACGGCTATGAGGAGAAGCAGAATGGCACATGGGGTCTTTCGAATAATGGAATAAACATGGGGGACGGTCATCCCAGTCAACGGCCGTCTAATGAGCGCCGCTACTCGGATAGTGTGGTTGAGGTCCAGGATAATACGAACTCTCGGCGGGAAGATCTCATAGACCTACAGGACTCTCAATCCCACGCCACCGATATGGACCATGCTTCGACCACTGCCGTGTCGGACCACCAAGGAGATGTACATCCCGATTTCGACACGACCATTCATACCCCTGAAGTGTTCCTGTTCGACTACGGCACAGTCGTAATATGGGGCATGTCACCTGCACACGAGTCACGATTCCTATCCGATGTTTCCAAGTTTGCCGCTTCTATCCTCAGTCCCGAAGATACCCAGGTTGAGAACTTCAATTTCTACTATGCTCGCGAATATCAAGCCCGGATATACAACGACTTCATCTCTCTGCGCGACCCGCGTAACCACATGATCAAACTGGCCATCTCCCACGCATTGGCCCAATCCGTCAAGACTTCCCTCTTCGAAGACCTCGTATCTGAGACCATCTCCAACACCGCACCCCTACCCGCCCAGATCGCCCAGACAGGCAGTGTTAATCTCACCCGGCGCCAGATCAACATGCAAATCGGCGAATTGTTCATCCTACGGATCAATATTCACCTGCAAGGCTCGGTTCTAGACTCTCCAGAACTCATGTGGGCCGAGCCTCAGCTAGAACCGGTTTACCAGGCCGTCCGCAGTTACCTTGAAATGGACCAGCGCGTAAGCCTACTCACGGAACGACTGGACGTGATAGCGGATCTTCTCGCCGTCCTCAAAGATCAATTAACTCACCGCCACGGTGAGTATCTTGAATGGATCGGTAAGCACCTCCCCATCCCCTGCATCAACCTGTTCCAATCAACTAACACACGTCACAGTAATTGTTCTCATTGCGGCAGAAATCCTAGTCGCAGCCATCAACATCGTAGTTGACTTGTACGCTGGCGTGGAGTGAACACTACCTACCCTTTCTACTAACAATTACTACTACTATTGCCTTGTCTACATCACCCAACAACACCGTTCCTATACATCTACAGCCCCATGACCACGACACCACACCACACTACACTGAGTGTTCTCTTTCAGTATTCGTTCACTTCAGCGGAGTTAAGGGGTTCGGGCATACATCTGTCATTTAAAGTGGGAACAGGAGTGAAAGTGGGAATTATCAAAGCAAAGCCCTCCTTGCATCGCTACGGACAATGCATATCTATCTATATTTAGTATCTAGTATCAGTACCTCTACACCGCGCGATAACTTATCTTGAGCTGTATATTACACCCATTGATTGCTCCAGAGTCGATCCGAATCTACCCTAGACTTATCTAAGCTGGAGCCGATATGGTCATTGTGCAGCTCTTTCACTCTGTAGGATTAACCAGTTAATATCTCGTCCTGAAATAAGGGCTTTTGGTAGATGAACCATCATCATCTGTCTGGCCTCGTATCTTGTGATATCAAGTATGTATGGCAAGACATGATGATCGATGCACATATACTAGTATCTACTGACTACACAAAGCAAAGGATGACTATTCTATAATGAAGCAGGCAGGTATCCCCCCACTTCGCCTCCTACACATACACACAACAATAGAAATAATAACGCTTTTTGCCCATCGTATACTATAGAACACATAAGAAGAGTAAAGAGGGGGATGAAAGATGTCCCAAACCCCTGAGACGAAATGAAGTATCACCCGACGATGAATAACACCCATTATCACAATAACACAAAAAGAAAATAGAGTAATAAAGTAAAAAGAAAGAAAAGAAAAGTCTAGGGTATGGTTATGGTATAAGTTTGATAATCACCCCTCCCTCTCCTCCTTAGCTTCCTCCTCCTCCTCTTCCTTGGCATCCATATCCATCGGCGTCGTCTCATCCTCCACACCACCATCACCCCTCTGCTCCGCAGATTCAGGGTTATGGCTCCCGCGATCACTAGTAGCACCCTCCTTATCATTCGCGGACCCGTTACTACCCGGTTGAACGCGGAATGACGAAGTCATATCATCCTGCGACGGGGCGGGGGCTAGTCGCGGCAACGAGGACGACGAATCTCCATTACCGTTATCACCATCAGCAGCTGCGGCGCCAGATTCCGTCGCATCTTTATCCTTGGCGTCTTTCTCCTTCTCAATATCTTTGCTGTTGCTTTCATTGTTGTTCTCATTGTTCGCAGCCTCATCCTCCAAATTAGCATCATTGGGCAAGTTGGATTTCCTGGATCGCTTCACGCGCAGAGGCCTTTCCTGGGGCTGTACATAATCACATCCATTACCATTAGCGAACCTTCAAACCCTAAATATACCAAAGAGGTAGAGGAAGGTAGAACTTACAGTAGGCGGTTGCTCATCGGAACTCCCCTCCGTCTCGTCCTCCAGGAACTGCGGCGCACCGGCAGCACCATTCTTCCCTGTCTCTCCGCCCGTCACGGCTGTGACATTCGTCATCATGGCTGATGCCCGGGCGCGCAGTTCCGGGTTCACGCCGGCCTGCGCTTCCTCCGTCATGCCGGTGACCTTGGCCAGTCGTTCGAGAAGAATGCATGACTCGAGGCGCATCTTCTGGATGTATTGCCAGCCGCGACGGTTACGGAGACGCATCAATTCATTTTCTTCTTCGATTTCGTTGAGGCGCTTCTTTAGGGCCAGGCATTTGCGTTTGTAGGCGTTTTCGACGCTGGGGGGGTTGGAGGTTGTCGAGGGTTGGCGGGCTTCTTCCATTGTGGTGGGTGGTGCGGTGGGTGAGAGGTAGATGATGGTGGGATTGAGTGGTGCGATTGATGAGTGTTGTTGTGGTGTTAGTTGATGGTCAAGGGATGTCGGAGGAGCGAAGTGGTTGGGGATGAATTTAGGATGTTCGGAGATGCGCGATTAGGGGGGTAGTTATAGTGTGGGGGCGCGAGTGACTCCGAACAGGTAAAAGGATTACCCAGGGTAATTGATAAATGAGAAGGGAATCCCCGAGGTGAATTGGATGGCAGTGAGGCGGATCTGAGAGGAATGGATGGGACGAGAATCAAGTCGGAGCTGAAGCCGAAGCAGAAGCAGAGCCAGTCACGTTCTGCCGGTCGGGGTGTTGGGCGGTCAGCGGAGTCTGGGGTATAACACTACTACACTACTAGTATTTTAAAGGAGCAACACACTAAAGCTTCATTATCGTCATTACATTGCACTAACTCCTAAAAGCTACTGTTCATGAGAAAAAGACGGATCTATCCGTGCAAAGAAGTAAACATAACGCTAATGTCCACCAGTAGTCGGCAATCCAAGGAACACCTTGAACGAGTCGTAACTATATATCTGCGTCAGCATCCAGCCCTCAGTCTTATCACAGCATCATCATCAGGATCACTTACATCAACCATTGGAATCCAGTCAATGTACCCAGCATGACAATTCTCACAGGCAGTCCATTCCACAAGCCAGAGAACCCAATATTACTATAGATCCTCGACACAGCAGTCATAGCTCCCTCACCAGCTAAACATCATCAGTCATAACCCTAAACACCATAAATCGATAACAATGAAAAACAGGATAACTCACCTTTCCGATCCGCATTTAACTTACTCACCATAACATCCGCCGGGTGACTGACAATGGCACAGAAGATACCGGCAATATAACCTCCCAAAAAGCTGACTCCCGTCTGCTGTAAGCCATTGAACTGCTCCTTAGGCTTGCCCAACGTCTTATAGATAAACTTGACCGTCTCCTCAAACGTCGCAAACTTCGTCATCGTATAGGGGATCTGTCTTGCCCACAACGGATACAACCCCTTATACAAGCCCGACATGCCCTCCTGCGCCACGATTTTGCTCCATCCCTCGCGCAATGTATGCGCAAACGGCGGCAGCGTCGTCTGCATGCGCACCTTGATGGCCTCCATCGGACAGAGGGCCATATCAGCGAAGAATTCGGCCGAGGCACTGGCGCCAAGGAAGACGACGGTGCGGTTCGCATTCGGGAAGAGCTGGTCTCCGTAGAGGTATTTGAAGTACTCGTAGAAGCCATATTTACCGGCGCCTTGAAAGGAGTAGCCAACGAAGGTGGGGGTCCAGCCGAAGAAGATGCCGCGGAGACCTTCTTTGGATATAATGGTGCGCCAGGCAGAGAGGTTGGAAGTGTAGATTTTGGGGTCGACTTGACGGCGACATTTTACGAGATCGAGGGGTGTGACGGCTGTGTGGGTTGGGCCTGTGGGGAGGGATAGGAATTAGGAATGGTAGTGTGGTTGGAGATAGGATGGTTAAACATACCGCAGGCTGTTCGAGGTGGTTAGTATACAAGCTCTGTGATGCAAAAGAGGGCTAGATGGCAGACTACTCACCAATGATTCCTCCGAGTGTGCAACTGGCAAAATACTTGGCCGAGTTGGGTTCAATCTTACCCAAGGGGTACTTGGGCTTCTGTGTCGCCATTCTGGTAGCCTATCTAGTGAGGAAAGTAGAGGAGGGGAGCAATGGAAGCTTATCGACTAAAAGGACAGGACAGGAGAGGAGAGGGGAGAAATTCTACCGAGCAAGGTACGTGAACAATGTAGTATAGGAAAATTCAATGGATGGAAACGTGTACTACTATCCACACTACTTATATTTACTTTGTACCGTGTCAGCCCGCAGGCCATGTCGTCAGAGTCTCCATTTAGTAGGGAGGACAAACAAGTCGCGGTCCAGATCCATTCGCCAGTCCAACGGCTAATCGGCACCCGCGCAATGAACTGTTCTCTGTGCCGGATACGTCCCGATTTGCCGTTTCTGGAATGGATACTTCTCTGTATGAAACTGAGATCTACATAAGCAGTGAATTATTTACTTTGTGGTGTTCTTTTACTCATAATTAATCTTGTGTCGTTGTGTCTGCGGCGCCTTGGAGATAGTGCAGATCGATGACGTCAGTGCATCCGGGGTAACCGGAAGGAGTAGGGCAAGAATGTTATGGATTTATCTATCGTCTATGGACATAAATATAGATCATGTAGCATTGAAATTTCACCATTTGGTCGAACAAGACAAGGTAATCCAATATACAATAAATTCATGGGTGTTTGAGATTAATAAAGTACGTCGTAACCTTACTCTGCTGAGTAGAAATTATAATCCTGCTGTAACACCTGTGCATGGCAAAAACAAGCTAGATACACCAACAACGGCATCGAGTTGGATGTAGCCTTTAAAGACGACTCTGCACTACTATCAGGTGTCGGCCTCCCAATTCTCGTGGTTTGCTGGGAGGCTTAGCAATACCACTACTCGTTCGAGAGGACGCTCCCTCAGCGTCTTAGACAATCTGGGGCCCAGGTTTCCATCCCTCTGCTTGGGTCCAAACATATGTTCCCATGATGTCTTGATCGTCCGGAAAATAAGTTAATCTGATTGTTTCAGGACTGTTATGGCGATCTTGTTCAATTGTCGCAGACAGCGAGGAAAGTCCACTGCGGGCTGTTGTGATAGGAGTGCCGACGATGTGCGTTCGAGATTCGTTGTATTGAAATTCTTTCAAATATCCATCGGAGAGTCCGAACAGGCGAGGCTCGCCAAACCAACGACTGACAGCACACAGTTCAGTGACTTTCGCAAAGTCGCCCGGCTGTCCCAATGGCTTTTCTACAAGGATCCAGTTAACTTGAGCCCACTGGGTGACATTCAAGGTCTCTAGTGAAGTTGCAGAGAGAACCGAAGGACATACTTGTATATTCCTCTCCATCATATGCCTTATGATAAGACCAACCGATTCCGGTTTCGGCTTCGATAAAGTAGACATCGATGCCTTCCGTGTTTATGCACGAAGCCGTCTTGCCCGACTCCACTTCGTCGATGAGCTTAATCTCCCAGTCGGAGTCATTAGACTTTCTATGAAGCTCATATAAGTTCTGATTTACAAAATAACTATGTAAATATCAGCAAATAATAACGAAACGGCAGAGAGCGACTGGTCACAACAATCTACATACTTTCGGACACAGAATGCCCATTGCCAGTCAATGTATTCAAGGGCAACATCACTATTATGGTTTGCAGTGGTGCAAGGAGTGATATATGAGACATAGGGTCCGCCTGTACCTATCTCACAGATTGCTTTCTGGACTTCATCCGTATAGGGTCGTGTTTCCCACTGAGAATCTTCGGTGACACCAATTCTTAATTCAGTCAACCCCGTAAGGCACACAATCTAAGCATAGTCAGTTCATCATTCCATCAGTATTTACACCCCTCAGTAATTCATAAGTTATCTTCGAGATTCTGACCAACTTCTCATGCTTTTCGCTTCCAGGGTCATGGAACCAACCACAGGCTAGTGACTGAGAAATGACTTCTGATCTGTAATCGTTTCTAAACACCCATTCATCCTTGACAAGTTGGTACAGCTTTATTGGCCATTTTTAATATTCATCTCGGCTGTAGACAACCAGCGCAAAAACGTCCTTGTCGAGCGTAGTGGTGATAGTGCATGTCATTTTAACCATGTTGGGCCGTAAGTAAGGCTGGTGCGCTCCGTTCTTTGAATCTGGGGTGGGACTGGGGTAGCTTGTTAACTTGTAAGAGATCAAGGCAAAGTGTCTTAGTACCATACTCGGATATGTGGGCGATGGGTTGTAATTTACATAGCATTCAATGATCAAAGGCAGGCGACGTCATAGACCTAGTACTGCATTCTTTACTGCGGACCAGTCATGACAACCTTGCATGGTGCAACGTGCCTACCGAATCGGGTAGCGGATAGGTGCCTCCTCTCTTTTCTCCTACCATATGTATTTAGAAAGCATTCTACAAGCATCCTACTAAAAACAACAAAATGAACTACCATCTGCTTTGACTTCGTTTTCTTCTTCTTCTTCTTCTTCTTCATTTGCTTAGAATTAGATCCGTTTGCTCCAGCACGGAGCACATGGGGTAGCTTCACTTCTCTCCGCGCACCCAGCCCTATCAACTTGTCTTCACCTGAAGCAGTACTACTAGGAAAATGCATGGCCACCTCTGTGATCAACATGCCTGGCTTGCTGAGGAGGTCGGGCTGATTCGTTCTTGAAGCTGCATATGCACGGAGCCAAAGTACCCCGCAGATTCTTGTAGAAGGTGAATACTACCCACAGATGGCAATAATGAGAAGAATTTCTCAGCTATCACTGTACCCGTTGTACAGCATGTTGCAGGATCATCTGATCTCCGCATACAGAAGCGTATACAGATAGAATGACGGCAGCCAGCCCAAATCACGGCCTCAGTAGATCATTCTATTCGCGTTTTAGCAAGTAATCGAACTAGAGTTCCGTATGTAGTAGTGTCTATTTTTCCCGGAGTCATAATGTCCATGACATACAAGCTATAGCTTGAAGAATTAGTAGCAGCAACAACATTGCAGATGCATAGTGGTGGGCTCAAAGGCAATATACCTATCACTACCCTGACATGCAGTAAGTAGTAATTAGTAGGTAGGGGATGTAGTAGCTATGCCCTTTCTGGGCCCTAGCTACAAACTAGCTACGAACTACCACAGATGCTCAATGGCTGCCTTACTTCCAAGCGCCCCTACTGCATGTTCTATATACCTCATAGATGAGAAACACTGAAATATATGCCTCATGCACTTTATCGCTGAGCACTTACTCGATGGGTCGGTAATTGGGTACCTCTGCCTAGCATTGCAGAGAAGATCAGGTAGAATCGAGAACTTGGTTGCATATGTGATCATCTGCCTTTTGGAAGGTGTCCGTCCTGGTCTCTTCATGTTTGCTTTTGTTGGACTGGAAGACGGTTTAGACTTTACATCATACGACAAGGCACATATGGGATGACTGTACTAGTGTAGTAGGGATGGACATAATGGCTATATATGGACGACATGACGGATGATTTGCGAACTGGAATGGAAATTAAACCTGAACAGATGTAGAAGCAGTGCCTCCCCCCGCACAATGACTAGAGCCCCTTATCCATGGGAAATTGTATTGTTGCTTTTCTCCTCCAGATGATGGCTGACTAGAACTATGCATGCAACTTGTATACAATGCATGCCTGGCCCTAAAGACTGGAGTGTCATGGGCTTCTCTGCAGAAGCATCAAGGGTTATCAAAGAGAAACTATGGAGCACGTTGCTTCCTGTTTCTGTTTGGTGAATGGAGAACGGAATCAAATTCCAGGGCAATTCAGGTTGTTAGAGGAAATTGCTGCAGCAGACTACTAACTCCCACGGAGTAAAATCCCCTGTTACGGATGCTACGGGCCTGTCTAAAGCGCCGATTGTACATTGATCAAGGTATGGCATATTAATAACGTCACCAAGCGCAGCATATGTATGCACTGATACCCTGGCACACCCGAGAAGCGTTTACAGCCCGGCGAGTGTGTGGTTGGTCCAGAGGCACTAATTTATGCTAGGGAGGGGGAACTCGGCAATCTGGGTATCGCTAACTAGTTGCAGCTATCAGGGCAGGTGATAAGAACGTGTGTTTGAGACTGACTGTTTCTACCAAAGATCTGAAGGGAGACTCTACATGAATAGAGCAGCTGGGGCAAAGGACGAATTTTATCCAGCTGTATCAGATAGTGTTATTCCGAGTCATGAATGATGACAATGGTAAGACTTACGTTGCAGAGATCGGCCGACGGCTTGAGACAGGCCCCAGCCAAGTTCAATCCATTGCGGTCATTTCTTTTCCAAGAAGCAGTAGCTGAATGATTACTAGTAGCAATAATATACATATTAATTTACAGGTATAGTTTGTCCAGCCCCATGAGCCCCGAGGGATATACCATGTGCATGAGTCCGACCTTCCCTACTTACATGACGGACACCTCCCTCACCGGCCGTTCCAAAGAGTACAATTGAGGCATGCTCGACATGATATCCCGCCCATCATAATTCGCCAACATAGTAGCCAGCTTGATGCCAGCTTCCGAGCCCGTCCGGGCCATCACGCCTCGGATCATCTGCGTCTGTTCGGGCGTAGCAAGTCCACACGACAGAATAAACCACAGAGGCCATAGCATAGTGTAGAGATAAAAGGCTCGAACCCGAGACATCCCCTGCTCAGAGGGTGGCATCGGGTTTCCGGAAATATCAATCTCCCCAAAGCAAAATGGTACACTCCGACAAGATTCAGAGACCATCTCGAGGCTTAGCCGTAGGCCATCTGCCTCATGCTGAGACGCTTCATGCTGAATACCGGGGGAATCACACAGAGAGACCAGTGTTCGGAAGAGATCTGCCATCACACTGTGGATGAAGATTCGAAGGACACGGTAATGGGCCCAAATAACCGCAGCAATCATCTCTCGGTACGTGAGTACATTCTCGCCCGTGTGTGATCGGGTCTCGAGGGGTAGCCAGATGTCCGATAAGGTTTGGGTCCATTGGTACAGTTCTGAATCCAAGCGTCTGCAGGAGTCGATCCATGATGCTAGCTTCGTGATTCCCGCAGATTGCAAGGAATCTGAAGCAGATGTTGGCTCTGAAATCAGCTTTCTGACCTTGGACGCAATTATCATAAGGGATTGTAGCGGATCTGCGCCGTCGAGACGCTCAACTAGTCGATCGGAGTCCAGACTGGGTTTCCCCTTCAGCAGAAGGAATTCGATTTGCTGGATTATGCGTTAGCATTCACCCATCCAATATTAAACAGAGACATCCATATTGACTCACCATACGAACATACGCATATTTGAACATATCCAGTCCTGCCGCATGTCCCAGCTGACTCTCTCCCCTCAGTCTCGTAAGCGCCTCAAATCCCACCGTATGCGCACTAGTAAGCCCATGGCGATCTCCCGAGATATCTTCAAACAAAGACAGAATAACCAACGTCGCAAACGTCTCATCCTTCGCCGCCTCAAGCGGCAAATCCAACGCCTCCTGCAGACGTCGCAGCGCCAACCCAAAGCGATATCTCGCCTGGGTCACAATTCCAGGCACATTAACCCTATTACTGAGGGCCATCAGGGCCGTCGCATCGACAGCTAATCGTAAAGACAATGATGCGGGGTTACCATGATTCTGATCTCGACAATCTGCATACAGCGACGGAAGGAACCCCAGATGTCCCATGCCGCCGACTGCATTGCATTCCACGATGGTGAACTGATCGAAGAAATAGCAGATTGCTCTTTCTTCCCACGTAGAATCGCTGATTTGATAAGCGGGCAATGTCGCCACTTGCAGATCCTTGCCGCCGCTTGATACATCATGGTTGCTGGGCTGCTGTTTACTTGACGAGGAAGAGTAGACAATGGCCTTGCCATGGATCAGTTGCTGCACTTTGTACGTTTCATTCCGGAAGATCCCATCCGATCGGTAGCCCGGACATGGCTTGCCGTGTATGCCGCAGTTTCGGCACCCCGGACGGCCTTCATCGCACTGGGAGGCAGCTTAGCGTGGGGTCATACAGATGAACGGCATACTCATTGGGGTAAATTGCTATGCAAGGGGCATGATGTGCCATGACATGTCAAGGCTGCAGATCTGTCCTACCTTGATTTTCCGTTTGCGACACAAATGGCACCCTGTACTTGGCTTCCCGCCGTACACCATCTTCGTCTACTTGATAGGGGCCCAGCTGCGGGATAGAATATGCAGTGGAAGCGACATAGATGGGGACGATTTTTTAAAGTGCTTTGTCAAGCGAATATATCAAATGCTTGATGGCGTCGTCGCAGCTGGTGCCTTGAAGGATCGACACAAAGAACCGTAGAATACGGGGTCTTGCCATTTTGAGGGGCCAGTCAGGTGATCTCCATTATCAACGAGAAACAACCCCAACTACAAATACTACAACTACCACCCCACAGCATTACGACATTTGATCAACCCCGTTCGTTTAGTCAAAGCATACGTAGTGATCTGTTGATCTATTATAGTCTCTATTCCTCTCGTCTCGGAGCAGCCCTTTCGGCATACTTCTAACAACTGACTATCTGAACAACAAGAAAGAAAACCCCCACCAAGGGAGACAAGGCACGCTGGGGTGTAGTCGTGGTGAAAGGTAAGCTCAATGTCTTCGCTTTGTAGGACCAACAGTAGAAACACCAAATCGTCTGTAAATGGTAAATACATCATCTCCCGAGGCGGGTATCATCTAACCCTCGAAAAACAAAAAGTAGAGGTAAACATATCATGAGCCAATCACGGTTCCCCTGAGACTCCTGCAGGTACAACGCATCAAGTAGCCCACCCTTTGCCATTTTGTAACTCCACTCCACGTTTCCCATGAAAACTTCGAGAACAAGACCGGAAAATTGAAAGAAAAGAGATCCGTTTAGACCAAACACCCAGAATGCGAATGCTGATGTTCGATGACCTGGCAACGCTGACCGCGCCTCGTTTGCCTAGCGACACTCAGGTTGGACCAGCCGGGTCGTTGAAATCAGGCGCTAAAACAATAGGTATATAGACGGTAACGCTTGGATTCATAAAGCAGGAAAGAAGGACGTGCTAGTCATTGCGAAGGTGGAATCCCTAGTCAGGAGGCGGGGGCATCCACCATGGTCTGGTCATCGTCACTATTGAGCGGCACACTAGGCGGGGGGTCCGAATAGCGCTCCCTATGTCGGCTGTCGTTACTCGTGGGGTGCAGACCCGGCGTACTGGAAGCACTCTCCACTATCACAGCATCGTCGCCATCTTCTTCGGGTGGTGGTGAGAAAGTCCAGACCTAGAACACATTCATTCCCGGTTAGTCTGTGATAAGATGTAGGAGACAAGGGAGAAATGAGCGAAAGTTCCTTACCTCCATCACTGTGCGGCCTGCTCTGCTAGCCATGATCACAGCTTTCTCTTCCTCAAAGGCAACTCGCCAAACAGCCTCTGCCGGTGTCGACAGTTCTCTGAGTAGTTGACCGGTCTGCAAACTCCACACCTTGACACGACCATCACTACCACCACTGACAATTCTGGAACTGTCAAACTGCAAGCTGGTAACGCTGTTATCATGAGCCGCAAGTCGGTGAATGGGAGCCATCTTGGTCAACGACCAGACCCGAACAGATCCATCAGAACCACCGGTGACCAAGGTATCTCCCCGCATTTGTAGCTGCCCTACTAGGGAGGTATGGCCCTGGAGGATAGCATGGCACTGGCCCGAGTGCGGATCCCAGATCCGCACGCTGGTATCCAAACTGCCGGTGGCGATGCGTCTGCCATCAAACGCGATAGCATAGATTTGGCTGAAGTGGCCCGAGAGCGTTCGTAAGCATCGTCCCTCAGAAATGCTCCAGATGCGTGCCGTAGTATCATAGCTTCCCGAGACTACAAGATCTCCATGAATGGCCAGGCAGCGGACACTAGCTTGATGCCCAACCAGAACGTTCTTGCAGGTACCCGAGGCGAGATCCCATATCCGCAGCGTTGTATCCCGTGATCCCGAGATCGCCGTGTTCTTGTCGGACATTTTGAGGCAACGCACGGTTGACGTATGGCCACGTAAGAGGTAGAGACAGGCACTGTAATTTGATTTGTTCGTCAGTAGTGACCTCCGACTGCAGGCCGTCATAGTTTGCTTACCCGGTCGCCATGTTCCAGACCCTCACTTCTCGGTCGCACCCACCACTCACAAGAATGTCATCCCAGGGAACCATCGCCCATACGCCCATAACATGGCCTTGAAGAGTTCTTTGGTTATCCCCATTGGTATCGTATACATGAATCTTGGCATTGTCTAGCGCGACCACAATATACTTGGGGGTTAAATGCAGGCTTGTGACCACACCCTGGTCGGGTGTGATGTGTCGCTGGGT